TATTTTTATTTTCATTAATATTTTTTTTATTTATTTCATAATATAACAAAAAAGGACTAAGGGGAACATTGGGTCTGCTTGATTGTGATGGGAATCGAGAAGTGAGAAAACTCAAACCAAAAAATTTATTTGAGAAAAACTGAGCATTTCACAGCCGGACCAGTTTCTTCAAGGGTAGGCCCTAGGTATGCGCGAGACTTACTATATGACTCATCTCAAGCTGTGGCAGTTGAGGGAAGGCAATATCACCGAGAAGCAGTTCCAAAATATATTTTGGTGAATGTTTCTTGATTCCTCCAAAATAAGGGCTGCACAATTGGGATCGAGCCAAACCAAGAATTGCGGGCACGAAGTGAGACAGATAAATGAATAATGTTGATTGTTTGAAAAATTGCCCTTAATAAAAGAAAGAGTTATGGAGTGCTACGTACCTTAACTCGCAGTAGGAATTTTATATATACATATAGATAGTTTAAAATGGACAATGTTGCACACACAGACATTGGTTAAATTTCTTTGCAGCACAGTTGAAGCATCTATGTAGAACTGAAGCATCAAGAGAAGCTCATGCGTCCTCACTTTATTGCGCTTTACATAGCTTGTATGCGTCCATGCAGCCATGATATGATATATTTTAAAGCATTTGTTTAACCTATAATCTTCTTATTCATTAAAGCTGGCCCATAAGTTGTGTCTTATGTAGCACTACAATTGAAACGTAATCTGCATGGTGGTCTGAAACAATGCTTTTGAAAATCTCAAAACGACCCAGCTCTATACACGACCATCTGTGCATCAATGATAAGCACCATTATGTGTTTGTACATATCAGTTGTGCTCTCATACTTAATTATTTTTCTGACCCCTCCCTCTGCCCCTACCTCGTTTCTGTCGTGAAGCTGGGGCAAGTTGTGTATAGCTGTATTAATATTGTAGGAGCACATATCACTATCAATAAAAAATTATTTTTAGGCTACATGCAATTAGTTTTCATAGATTTTCATTTCTTTTGTCGGTGCTCAGGAGAGCTAAGCTCATGGTCGATATTTTAAAATAACATTTCTCTTTGCCAATGTTAATGAGAATATTTCATTATATTGACAAGTTCATTCACATTGAATTCAGTTCTCATTATTATTGTTTCTACCAAAAACGAGCCCTTAAAGTTATGCATTTTTGCTTGATTTGTTTTCGTGTGACAGCATGCAAGTAAAATGACAGTTATTGTCATTCCTTGTGAATGGCACATTTTCCGTGTGACAGACTTTAGCACCTGGTCATCTGCAGAAGTTGTATTCATTCTGGAAAAGGGTGAACAGCGGTGACTGACAACACAGACTAGCCTGCGTTATTCTTTTGTACTATATATGTCACTGTGCATTCATTTATAACTTTATAGAGCTCAGATTTCCTGCTGAAATTTGACAACAACTGTAGAGTTTCCACATTTTTGCAACAATCCACATGCCTTTCATACACTATTGCACATTTTCGTAAGCACCTTACAAAATCTGTATATTTCCGTAAGACCTTACATTCTGCATTTTCCTTATGAAAGCTTCTGTACACTCCATACACTTTCCTTATCCTTCCATATCTTCCATCATGAACTCTCCGTATGCTCCATAAGTTTCCTTATCTTTCCTTATCCTTCCATATACTCCATAAAAAGCTTTCCTTATATGCCATACATTTTCCTTATCTTTCCGTATACTCCATAAAAAGCATTCCGTATACGCCATAAAATTTCCTATTCCTTCTTTATACTCCATAAGAAGCATTCCGTAAATGCCATACAACTTCCGTACATTTCCATAAAACTCCGTATTTTTTCCGTATGTAGCATAAGGAAATGTTACGGAGTCCATATATTTTCCGTAAGATTTCATACGGAACGTTTCAGTAGGGGGCTCTGTGAAGGTCGAGAGACGCGTCTTCGAAGCATGTCGTCTACTTGGTCAGCAATGACGCGGCGTTCTGTAGCGGACACGCGATATGGTCATTGTCGCAGTGGTGAGTGGAACCCGGTGTCAATGTGGTGTTTTACTGCTAAGGCTCGGCCGAGAGATGTTTGTGCAATGTCAAAAGAATGGCGGTAGCGCTCAAGGATGGTGAGGAGTTGTGAACGCTGCGAAGATGTCAAATCTTCAGCGATGACTGATTGAAATATGTTTGCCGACGTTGAGCCAGCCGCTTAGACGACAACCAGTCCACAGACGGAGGTAGAATTAAATCGTCCACATCTGGGACGGATATAATTCTGGTAGAACTGATTGTCTCAACGTAGCCAAGACACTCGTGACAAAGCAGGGATAAAGACGATGACTGATGATTATAAATTGGCATTGTGGTTGAGCTTTCTGCAAGGTCGAGAGCAGCAAAAGGCAGGAAGGGCTCTTCGGGCGACGAATATTGGACATGGTGTGAAGGAGACCGTGCCGTCGGATATGGCGCTGCATGAAACGGGTACGAATGCAAAAGAGCATGGAAGGATGTAGGTGTCATCGTTAACGACAAGTTTAGCGGCAGACTGGGTGTCGACGGACGCTCGGTCATCCAGTGAGCAAAGTTCAACCTCATCCCTAGCACAGTTGATTACGGCGTTATGACGCGACAATAAGTCCCATCCCAAGATAATAGTACGGGAGCACGATGAAAGAACCATGAACTCTATCGTATACAGAACGTCCTGAATTGTCACGCGGTCTGTACATACTGCGGTTGGTTAAACAGGTTGAGCACTGGCTGTGCGAAGCGATAATCCGGATAAAGGCGTCGTAACCTTACGAACTGAGCGGCAAAATCCAGCATCGATAACAGAAACAGCTGCACCGGTATTTTCTAGAGTGACAGCCGCCGCCAGTGTAAGGGTTAGCGCCCGCTGCTCCGATTCTGCACATGGTTTCCTTCAGCGGGGAAGATGTAATATTGCTTTAGCGGGTATTTACACGTTTCTTCTAACCAAAACGCAGGCTATATATATCTAACATTCAAAATTTAGTAGCATTTTTAAAAATTTGAGTAAATTTACGGTTCGCCTCTTGTTACAACATGAAGTCATATAGGAAGTCCACCGAGTGCACCCAGTTTGTTCCAGTGTATCGCCAGTGTTTCCAGTTAGTGTAAAAAATCTGTACATAGTGACTAGTGCAACTCAGAGTGCTGTAAAACAGAGGGCCATGGTACACAGTGACCCGGTGCGTGAACGCGCACTGAGTGAGGGTGACCACGCTACCATATGTTTTAGTGGCTTCCGCGGCACTGTAGTAGACTGGGAAACATAATAGCGCGTTTCAAGTGTCACCTAGCGCGCTGACAGCAATTGGGAGATTGAAAAGGCAACATTTTAGATAGGGTAGTTTATTGTCATGATGAACAGCTCAAACTAAAGAAGGATAAGAGAAAAAAAACGACGACGCAACGCTTGTGTAGTCATCGTCTTCTCTCGTCTGCGTTTGTTAGCGCTGGCTGTGATGATCACTTTCCTACTTTATCAGCTTCGCAAGATGACAGATTTTTCTTTGTATATGCGTTGTCCCCTTACAGATAATTATTTCTATCAAGTGCAGTCTGCGACGTTCATACCTAAACTGTTCCCGATCAAACAAAAAATGCAATAACACGAAAGTATAGTACAACAGATTTGCCTTGTACCAATGGTGCGAAATCGGTGCACCTGTAACTCAGATTTAAATATGTTACGAAGCACTTTGACGTTTCGAATTATTTCAGAAGTTACGTCCATTTTCTGTCACGTATTTTAAACAGAAAATCTTTGTATTATTCTTTTGAGTGGCCCTGTAACGTTGCTACAGATTGACGGAAAGTACTGCGTAATTTTGTTGCATTAGTGTCATGCTCAATTTTGCATTAGTGTCGTCAATTAATTAATCCATAAAAGTAAATGCTAAACTGTTACCTTTCTATTCTGTTGCTAGTGCAACGACAAATTTGTACGCGTTAAACATCTTCGCAGCGCTAAAACGCTCTCAGCTACGTGTCTTTCATGAATGAACCTATGAACTTTCTCTATTTCTTGAGTGAACATATTAAAGAAAAATGTGCATGCTTATTTGTGTAAAAATTCTTATGGCACACTGCACAACTATAAGGGCTTGCATTCTTTTTTTTTTGGTACCCAGAAAACAAGAATAAATGTGCTTAATGCGCACTTAAGCAGTTGAGTCACATAATAGCAGTGCATAGTAGACGGAACAGCCCCGACGTAGTGGTCTAGTGGCTAAGGTACTTAGCTGCTGACCCGCAGTTCGGGGGATTGAATCTCGGCTGCAGTGGCTGCACTCTTGATGGAGCTGAAAATGCTGTAGGGCAGTGTGCTCAGATTGGGGCACACGTTAAAGAACCCCAGGTGGTGGAAATTTCCGGAGCCCCCCACTACGGCGTCTATCATTATCATGCGATTGTTTTGGGGCGTTAAACCCCATATATTATCATCATAGTGGACGGAACAGAAGATAAACATGTTCAAATAAAATAACGAAAAACGTATTGTAGTAAGACGGTAAAAACGTATTGTAGTGCAAAAGCAAGCTGGTGGTCACATAGAGCCACATGCCCTTATTTTCAGATAGCGCATCTGTCACTAGTACTTGCAACATTCGGTAATTTTTCTGTGTCGATTCGTCAACGAAAAAGATTAGATATTGCATGAAAGTGGTACTCAGCGTACTTAACACGCTGAAAGTCCTCTAAGACAACTCACAACGAAGAAAGCGCCCCTGTCTGCATTTGTGCGCGTGATTTGTAGCCTGACCTCCGCCAACTGCGAAAATGCTTTTGCGAACAACGACAGCGGAAGAATACGGAGATAATGCATATCTACAATCGAATGCGGAGTCATCTTCATTCATTTACTCTTTGTCTGCTATTTCGACAATTATTCTAAATACGGGCAAAACAGGTGTGCATCCCAGTTATACCTATATTTCGTAGATATTTGTTCTCAATAGAAGAAACTAATTGTACTTTATTTGTCCTAGGAACAAGGAGGTGTCAACTTCATTTCTGGGCAAAGGAAACACGTTTCGTAAAGCCTGATCAAACTAGACGCAACCAAAAACCACGTTGGCCTTCGGCATTCGAAAATTGTGAGCAAGCGTACAAAAGCCTGTGTCCTGAGCCAATGACTTTCGACGTTTACCAGGATAATTGTGCACAGTGGTATAATCAGAAGTCCTCTATTTTGGTTTGGACCCCCTGAAAGGCACACTGCACACGACCCAAATATTTTGTGGCCCCATTTATGATGCACATACACAACTAATATTAAACCGCAAATAAACTAAGTAGTCACTCTGATGCGTGTTCTATCATGCTTAGCACATTCATAATCTGTTGAATGCGTGCTCTACACAATATTAAAAAAACATTCACGAGGGTAGAGGGCTGCTCCTTTAATGGAGGAGTAACTACTTCGTTACAACCAATAGCTTTTCGGGGACGGACCAAATTACAGTTTCTGTTTGTTCCTCTGAAACAAATTTCTAGTGCCAGCAGTCACTACTCTCAGCCTTTGTTACCCTCGCGTTTCTACAATTATTCTCTCTGAAAAAAAAATCAAGCTGATGGGAACGGTGGCCGCAAGAGTTCCGATTGGAGGTAGAAATGCAACATGACAATTTTATGCGTACTCTCGGTAACTGTGAATTAATGAGCCATGTTTCCCTGACTGCAGCAAAAAGTGCAGATGGCTTCGCAAGGTATATAGCGTTGCCAGCTACACGCAGAAAAACATACGTCAAGTTTCTTGACGCCTTCTGAAGTTTAGAAACAATATTTCCAGTATGCCAACTTCTTGATAAAATGTGTTTGCTTGCGTAATACTTACTCTCACATTACTGTAACACATGTATTGCGAATGATCGTTGTGTCCTCGAAGATCATTGATGTGATGCCATTTGCTTGTTGTAGTGGGCAGTGACTAGTCTAGCGGAAAGGTAGCAGGAATAAAGCTTGAACTGCACAAAACAGATAAAACGGTCACCATTTATCTCTAGCAAAGCTAAGCTTTGGCAAATAATCTGTTTGCTCGTGTTCACGTTATATCTTACTTTCTAGGCACCCTACCTTCACTGAACAAAGCGTGACATAACGCATTTACTCTCAGAATCGGCCACCATAGACACCTAAAATTAGACGTTCGCAGAAAAGGCAGACGCACTCAACCGCATTTCTCCGATTAACTTCGAGTGCACACTGGGTGCAGCCACAAATGCGTGATCCGCCTATTCCCCTGCACCTCCCGAATGACAAATGCAATACCTGGACTGGTTTTGCAGCTTCCACTCGCTAAGCAAAGTTTTCCAATCAGTTAGCATGCTGTCAAGACACTCGAGATGGTAAAAGCACAGAGGGAGTAGGAGGGGGGGGGAGGAAATTTTATGTTTGAAAGAAAAGAATTAAAACATTGAAAAAATGTGTTTTCGCGATAACCATATCAATTGCTAGTGCTATGAGTACTCCCATAGATGAGCACTTATGAAGCAATCGTTTCGTGTGATCACTTCATATACCACATCACTGTGCTGCTGTTCTAAAACTGGAATGAAAATATCGGCAGTACAATGTACACAAAATGATCAGATTCTGACAGGCCTACCGTCGCATTCGTGAAAGCCAAGTAAGTGCGCAGGTGAGATGCGAATTTTCTGTCCCAATAAGACTCTCAAGATACCATATGCGTTTGTCTTAGAGAATTTGAACACCGAAGGAGCGACCTTTTCTGCTTCTTGGTCTACTGTAATCCCTCGTTAAAATTCTCATGCACCTCATGCGGTTTGTCAGTTTCTCGGAGATCTGCCAAAATGAGCAAGCGGCCATGTTACTTGATGACGTTATGATTTAAAAAATTTAGCTGCTCTATGATTTCAACCAATGATTTTATTTAGCACTTGTGTAGATATCTACAGGCTCTTTTTGCGCTTGATAAAGCCTCTAAACTTTTCTGACCATGTCTACTATGCTGTTTATTTTGAAGGAGCGCGCGAAGATTATCAACTTTTCACACTGAATTGAATACTGCCCAAGGCATATCAATTTAATTACCCACTTTCTGAATTGAAAATCTGCGTGATATTGACATCATCAGATTTGTTGTTTAAAGTTCAATGGGTGCAATTTGCGTCTGTTTTATTTTCAGTGTGTATTCTCTCGCCAAAAGCTTTCTGCACCTCATGCGGTTTGTCTGTTTCTCAGGGATCTGCCACAGTTAGACCAAGCGGCGATGCCACTTGATGACGTCATGATTTCAAAGATTTTGATGATTTAGGATGTCTACCAATGATTTTATTTAGCACTTGTGTAGACAGTGACATGCAGATTTCGCGCATGATAAGGCCACTAAAGTTTCATGAACATGTGTACTGGGCTATTTATTTTGTAGGAGCGTGCAAATATTATTAGCTTTTCACAGTGTATTGAATACTGCCTAAGGCATAATAAACTAAATACCCACGTTTTGGATTACAAATCTACATGAATATGATATCATTAGATTAGCTGTTGAACGTTCGCAGGTTCAATTTCATCTGTCTTACAAATTGATTGCGGGGCGAGGGGAACTCCTTTTACAGCTAAAAGAATTGACTCTTATATGTTTCACTAAATCTGAGCACTGCATTCGTGTATGTAAGTGTGAGAACTAAGTATGAATGTTCCACTGCTTGACCTCATCTTTCCCTCTGTCTGCTCTCCATGCTTGCACCACATGATGTCACCCTGATCTCCATTCATATTCTTGAAGGTTTCAAATGCTATGTGAGAAAGAAGAAGAAAGTGGTAACCGATACATCTGTTTAGCGATGTATGAAGTTAGTAATGTTTTGGCTGGCGAATTCCTTCCGCTATTCCTGCCCATGAAATTACCATTTTTTGCTCACTGCAAGGCTTGAAAAAGGGGCTTTATGTAATGATATCCAGTAAGTAGTAAAATATAGTTTTCCGGGTAGCTTCTGGATGTAGCGACATAGGTATCAAGCGGACCACGCGCAACAGTCGCAGTATTTGTGCAGAGGGATCCACAGTTAAAGGGAACGCCGGAGCACGTATCATCTGCTCTGGTGTTTTCTTAGAAACCGCCAGATCTAGGGGCCACGTGATCAAGTAGGGGGGCTGTCATTTAACGTCCCCTGAAACGGGTTTGCAAACCTTGCAGCTATCGCTCGTGCCTCCCAACTCACTACTTTCCCTCTGTACGGTTTTTAGAACGAATATGAATAGCAACTGCAGTGAATAATGCTACAGGCTTGAGAATAAAAGCACCGAAAAGAGGTCCATTTTAGCACTTCTGTTGAAGGAAGAGCGCACGTAAAGCAGAGGTGGAGAAAGGGAAGTAGCAGGACAGGAAGCTTACATATACCGCAGGGACGTCTGACACCATGCCGGTCAAGATGCTGCCTCACAAAACGTGGTGTGCAGCTGCGGCCTGCTAGCAATGTTTCAAAAATACTGGCATATCTTCAGAAACTCTGAAAGTAAATGGTTAATCGGAACAGAAGCTGCTCACAAGTGGAATTTTGATGCTTTTGTCTTTTCTTTCCTGCTTTTGTTAAGTGTCGTTTAACTTCCAACAGAGACAATATAGAGTGGTGCATAATCGAGTAATTTGAGTGTCAGAAAGACGGTATGTTGTAAACGAAATGTCGTAAAATGCAGGTATACTATTGCTTTGCACGAGGCAAAATATTGCTAACAGAAGGTACACCAGTATAATGGAGGCTACGCATTGTACGAGAGTTAGCCAAGTTGTGTTGTGAATTTACAGCATAACATGATATTCAAGGGAATGCCTCTGCGAAGCCACTGATACAGCGTCCTCATGATGAGGAGGTATATAAATTTTCCATTCTTATATGGCAAAGTGTAGAGCAAAAACTTAGCTTTTTCTATTCTAAAGAACTGGGGAATTTTCACTTATGGCAAAAGCATATCATTGGGTGAAGTTTGTTTTGATGCTTTAATTTTAGAAGGAGCAATCTGAGAGTTAGCAGCACTCATTGAGCTAACTACTAACCAAAAATTTGGTGGTTAGTTGTTGCACTTCTTGAATTAACACAGGTGGTGTAGCCAAATAGAAGAGACGCATAGATAACAATTTCCATGAAAACAGTTCACTGGCAATAGCATAATTATGAGATGGTAAGATTATCAGTAATCAACACCTGGCTTGAATGCTGAGTAGCAATGTTAATTTCGTCTCAGGAGAGAATTATGCACGCAAACCTAGAAAGCGAGTCTATAAATATTTGTTTTTTGTTTGAATAAAAACTTTTCTCTGGAAATATTTGAACATATGCCAAGTTAACGTGAAAATAAAACTCTGCTCCTAAATGATTATAGTATGTTCTCTGACTTTACACAACAATATATAACAAATCTACAGAGACATTTCGCCTTATATGTGAGTGGCATGTTCAGTGTACACTGGCACCACATGTGTGGGAGTGACCAAATTCACTGATTGTTTCGCTTGTGTCTACTCATCCGTATAGAGGCCGTGATTGTTGTAGTACCATCACTGGTCATGACGGTCTAACCACGACTTGAAAAGCTGGCTTTTTCCTTTTTTTTGTTCCCGAACCAGCGTCGTCGAACAACAGAAGTCGAAGGCATGCCCCATTTTCAAGCAGTGTTTGACGAATTTTGTCTGAGAATGCGCACGTGGCCTTTGCGATGTCCTTTTTGTGTTCATTAAAACTCGTTGACCATTTCCTGCCAGTTTTGCCGATAAAAGTGGTGTCGCAGCAACCGCACAGAAACTAGTAAACAACCCTGTTTTGATCATTCGCAGGGGTGTTCTCTTTGGGCTTATAGAGCACGTTTGCCAAAGTACAATGAGGCTTGAAAATTGTTTTAATTCCCTGTGGACGAAGCGCTACTCGAACAGAGTCTGAAAAACCTTCAACATAAGGTACAGAAAATGTGGGTTTGGTGTTTTCTTTTGAGCACCCGCGCCTACAGAATTTTCGTGTCCATCGAAAATACGGACGCTGCAGCCGCGATTCAATACCACGATCTGCGGGTCAGCAGCCGAGTACCTTAGCCACTGGACCACCAAACCAGGGCGCCAGTGCGTCCAACGATTGTGCATATATTTAGGATCAATTCATGACCTGTCTCTCATTGAAAGAATTGCAACACGGTCGCTTTCGCTCCGAATGCTTCGCATAACGTTGATTCCCAGGTACGTGGGATTTGCCGAATTTTATTTACTGGTTTACTGAAAAAATTATTGCAGAAGCACTCATTATGTTAGACAGCACTGTTCTTGCACTTGCAGTACGTCCAATCATGAAAATTTA